CGCGCGTCTTGAGTACAGACAGCAGACTGGTCAGGTCAAGTCGGATGGTTGACATTTTGTTGTGCTGAAAAAGAAAAGACATAAATCGTTAGATGACTACACTCTCATACCAAGTACGTGACACCACGTTCAAACGAACGTGGCAAAATGCTATGCGACGTCCTATACAATGACATGTTTGTGCTTAAAATGTTCATTGAGGTGTCTAGTATTCCATTTTTCATACGCCGCGACAATGACTGCTCATAGAAAGGGTAATTAAGAAATCAAGTAGAACATGGCAATTATGGGTTTTCTAAAGATTGGAAAAATTTGCCGCAGAGGTCATCTAATTAGAACACTACAGAACCCCCCATAAACAGAAATGTAAAGTATTATAGTGCTTTGGAAAGCTAAAAGAACGAGGATTTCGATCCACCGACTCATTTTGACATCAATGCATTCGTTAACTTGCAATTGTAGAATTTTCCGGTGGGGTAAAAATGGGACACCACTTTGGGGAAGAATGGGACACTCCTGGGGTAAAAATGGGACACTTGGTTAATGGTAAATTGTGGCCTTTGGGGAGAAAATTTTCAAAGTTGTTCGAATTGACATCTCTGAACGGAAATAGATTGGCCTCGACAATACAAACAAAAAGTGTCTTCACATGCTATGGGTTTGGACGGATATTTAAAAAGTTAATGGGCTTTGAAATTAACAAATAGTCGCAAAAGGTCAAATTGCACCTAAGTTCTTTTGAAGCGCAATGCCTTTTCAGTTTTCATCCGAACCTGTGGCATGTGATGACATTTATTGTTCCTCGTGTTGAGACGGATCGAATTTTATAAAGTGGTGTCTATTTGGAAAACTTTGAGGCCTGTTTTAGCACTGCTAAGCCCCTGTCCCACTGAGAATGAAAGAGTCACCACCATCGCCCTTTATTTGGGTAACGCACGCACCGTTGCCCAAATTTGGGTGACGAGCCCGGTGACGAGGTGATGAAGGGAATCGAAAACAGCATCTGTTTCTTCAAAACACAACATGACGCAATCTTGGTGGCGCTGGCCTAAGTATGAGAAATCGCTGTGCCAGGTTCACTGCGAATGCGTACAGATAATTACTTGCTGTTTTCGATTCCCTTCACTGATTTTAATGAAACTTACAATACCCACGTAGAATTGACTGGCCAACAACGTGGTGTAGTCAGATTTTCGATTCGAACAATACTTTTTACACGTAAGGCTTTACCAAATGACTGAACAGTTCTAGCTGGTTTGCAGGGTTTTGGGAGATTCGCGAGATCCTCTACGTTTTACCCCCGTTTGCAGAGCCGTTACCACAGGGTGATAGGGAATTAAATTCTACACTCCTTAAAGCTATCGGGAACGCCATTAAACCTATTAGAAGCTGTGCATTTAACCTCCAAAGTCACAATAACCATTTTTGGACAAAATATGCAAATTAGTTTTCGGGCCGCCATTTTCGCTGCAGATGTGGTATCGACATTCCAATGGCATCAAAATGCAGAGTAAACAGTGGCCAACAATCGCCTCGCTTCATGTGTGGACCTAAAACGAACGGAAATGCCTTTAATTTTGAAAGGCAATCTTCAAGTCGGCGTTCTGGTGCCGGGAAAATTGATTACAAATTGATTTAAAACATGTTTCCCGTATTGAAACCACAAATCCAACGTGACAAGCGGATAGGAAATTTCGTGTAGAATCCGAAAATGACCTGATTTACTCAATTTGATGCAGATTTGACAAAGTTATGGTTAAAATACGAGCGCTCTGCAGCCCGGCCGGCCGCTCGCCCCGCGCGGGCCGTGCGGGGAGCATCCGCTCACGCGCTCCCTAGGCCGTTTCTGCCCCCTGGTTGAGGCCTCCGGTCATCGTGGTGGCCCCGGAAGGACGTCATCGGGAATTTCACGGCGTCGCCGACGGTGTTACCCAAATTTGGGCGACCAAACGCCTGTTACCAAATTTCGGGTGATGAATTTTTCGTCACCAAAATTTGGGTAACGAAGTTGCATCACCCATTTAAAGGGTGATGGTGGTGACCAATTCATTCTCAGTGCCCTTTTTACCCCAGCGTGTCCCATTCTTACCCCAAACTTACAAGTCCGAATTTTCGTAGTTTATCTAACACAACTGCAAAATTAAATGACTTTTCACTGCAAATGCAACGGCGATACTAAAGTACATTTGTTGGCGATACAATTGAGTATCGCCAATAAACGGCCTTACGGAAACGTATTGCCTTCAGAACGGCAATACAAAAAAGCAGTGGCGCCAACACGTGGGTGCAGGGTCTGCGGCCGCAGACCCTGATTTGGGGTGGGTCGGTGGTTGCGGTGGTGGGTGAGGGAAGGGGAAAAGAGAAAGGGAAAGGGGAGAAAAAGGAAAGGAGGGGAAGAAGAGAAAAGAAGGAGAGGAAAAAGCAGAGAAGAGGAAAAAGGGGGTTGTAAGGGGCTGAATATCAGTCGCTCCCCCTAAATGAAATTTCAGTGGGCGCCACTGCAAAAAAGTATCGCCAAAATTTGGCAATACTTTTGGATATTGCCAAAACCACGGCATTTAACCAAGGTCTTCTCCCCTTGATTTATTCGACGTTTATTGCCAAATCGTGGCAATACTCCAAAGTATCGCCAAATTTTGGCGATACGTTTGTGTATCGCTGTTTTGAAGGCAATATTTTTCCGGAAGGCCGTTTATTGGCGATACTCAATTGTATGGCCAAAAAAGGTACTAAAAGTATTGCCTTTGGATTTACAGTGTTTGATCTTATTTTTACGCCAAATGGTGTGGAACAGAGTACCCTAAAGCATTTGAAACACTCCAACTCGCCATTGCAGAGTTGTGGAAACCTTATTATTCAAACTGTCCCATTATTACCCCAACTGACCCTAATGAGTTGTTGTTACCATCACCACCATAAGAGCGGACAAACCTGAAATAGTAAAAATAACATTCATAAAAAAATTGAGGGACGACTCACATCAGCAGAGGCATCATGACATGCTTTCTGAGACTGAGGACTTTTCTTTTTCAGTCTAACTTTAAGTGCCCATGTGCTTTGACAGGTTAGGGGAATATATGTCCTCTCATAACGTAAACCAATAAACTCAACGTATGAAAACCTTAAGCATAAAGCGTGCTTTTGAGGTCCTCAACGTCTCTTGCAAATGTTATGACATGAAAACAGTAAAAAGATAGATCAACAAAAAGTTGCGTCTTGTTGCCACTCGCACCGAGGCCCCTCTTCTTGCATTCATTTTGCAGCTGGTTGTTTTAGTGTCTCCCATTCCTCCGGACTCGACATGATTGGCTGAGCGATAGCGAAGCCTGTTACTCCAGTGGGGTTGAAAAGTTTTTCCTGTCTGTCTGTCTCTGTGTCCGCACTACTCCTGAACGGCTCGGCCGATCTCGGTGAGATTTTGCACACTGATTGGGTATGTCCTTGGCTCGGCACGCGCGAAATTTCACTATCCTAGCTCAACTGGTTTAGTTAGCCGAAAACCACTTAAAAACGGCGAAAAATCGAGTTTTCTGCTGGCACTGGTAAAACTAAAGCGTAGCATTACCCACTGTTTTCAAGCGTAATCAGGTTACGCTTGAAATCAAGCGTAACAGGCTCATCCGCCAAGATTCCCCCTATCTAAATGCATGGGGGAATTTCTAGTCTATGCTTGATTTCAAGCGTAACGTCTTCAAGCGTAACTTTATGCTTGACTCAAGCATAGAGTTACGCTTTAGTTTTACCAGTGCAGATCACTTCTGTCTTGAAGAAAGGGGGTCGGGGGGGGGGGGGACCCTCCCAGCCTGGACAAGTGAAAAAGTTACAAGGGTCAAGATCGAGTTATCTGCAGATGAAGCAACTCTATCTAGATTCTAGAATGAAAGAGGGGGGGGGGGGGGGGCAGCACGCAACAGTTAAAAAAATCGACGGTGGACAAGCCATTGCCCGCAGGCCAAGGTAGGTACTCGTCGGGTAGATACGCTAGGCGCGGATAGGAGAAACAGGCAACGAGACATCGCGAAGCCTGTTACGACAAGACGCGGTCTGGCGTAGACCTACCTTGTGTACAGAAACAATTCCGAGTAATAATCAAACACTTTAAATCGCAGCAAATGTCCTTGTACGCCTTCTAAAAGCATGCCTCACATCAAAACAAGCGAAAGTAAGTTCGAGTAGTGTCAAATTTAAAGGTCGTCCGGAATTGTCCCATAGATCGTCCGGAATAACCCTAGCCTGGGGTAATTCCGGAACGTGCAGGGCTTTTGTTGGGCACGTAGATCTCCCTGACCGTTGCTGAAGGTTCATACTTTACTCTCCTGTTATATTATTTCACCCAAGAAGCGTATTCAAGCTCAAAGACCAAAAAGATAAAAAGCGTCCGGAATTACCCCACTCTCCCTTACTCTCCTGTAATATCATTTGATCCAAGAACCATATTCAATCTCCAAGCACTGTAAATCCAAAGGCAATACTTTTAGTACCTTTTTTGGCCATACAATTGAGTATCGCCAATAAACGGCCTTCCGGAAAAATATTGCCTTCAAAACAGCGATACACAAACGTATCGCCAAAATTTGGCGATACTTTGGAGTATTGCCACGATTTGGCAATAAACGTCGAATAAATCAAGGGGAGAAGACCTTGGTTAAATGCCGTGGTTTTGGCAATATCCAAAAGTATTGCCAAATTTTGGCGATACTTTTTTTATTGCCGTTCTGAAGGCAATACGTTTCCGTAAGGCCGTTTATTGGCGATACTCAATTGTATCGCCAACAAATGTACTTTAGTATCGCCGTTGCATTTGCAGTGAGAGCAAAAAGGAAAAGCGTCCGGAATCACCCCACTTTCCCTTGCAGACTGTATGCCATGTCTCAAAGTACAGGCCTTTCTATTCTAGCAAAGGCTCCGCCGGGCCGGCCCGTCAACTTCGCGACTCAACCAGAATTCCCCCACCGCAGCGCATCGCCTGCTGGCCGAGCCCCGCCGCGGCAGTGTGTGTATACAAACATGCCATCCTCTGGCAGTGTGGCCCCAGCGGTCGAGCGAGCTCAAGGCCGTGCTGTTGCCGTGTCTCACCAGTCGCGCGGCTTTGCGGCAGGAGCGTCCAGCTCGCCTTAAGATAGAGAAAGAAGATTTAGCAACCCTTGCCTGTGCAGGTAAGTGGCGTTGTGGCGAAGTTCCCCCGTGAAGCCACCCGGCATGCCTCTCAACTGTCGAATCACGTTCGATTTACTGTCCGTGAATGGAAAGGGAAGAAGCAGCATTCTTGTCGTGCCCTCAGCGTTGCAGATGCATTTCCAAGCCGTCTGTACACTCTACCAAAAATGTTCTGTCAATGCCGTTAATTTATTACCAGTTTTCACTGTAGGTCAATTCACAGCGTTTACTGTGATCTGCTCACGCGATTCACTGTGATCTTGTTCGCAGTGTTCGTTCACTGTGATCTGGTTCACAGCAAACACTGTGAGTTTGACGCCGCTGAGCACCGAAGTACTGCAAATCAGGCTCCAATTCACGGCGTTTACTGTGGCCAGATCACAGTGAACACTGTGACCGAGATCACAGAGAACGCCGTGAATTGCATATCAGCAAACATTGGTAATAAATTAACGGCGTTGACAGGACATTTTTTGTAGAGTGATAGGCCGAGCAGGCCAACGACACGAATCGTTCTGTGCCGGGAAAAGGGATCACACATTTTTGCTTTTCTCGTCACAGCAACGCCATGTTTTCCTGTCCCCTCGTCAGGACCCGTTGCAACTAGGGATAGTTTATTTTTGTTCTGATGGCTGGTTTTCTATCCGTCTGTCGTTTTCTTGAATAACGCGAGACTGTTGTCTCGCAGCAAGGGCCGTTGGCAACATACAAGCCAGTGTATCTCTCAAGGGCTTGTGTGCGCTCTTTCCTATCTGACCAGCCCGTGAGTCACGCTGGGACTTTGCCTTGCTCCAGTCTTCTCTGGGTGTGGCGCTCTCCTGGCCCGACCGGCCGCCTCGCCCCCAGCGACATTTTGCCTGGAAGGGCGAAGCTTGCGTCTGTGAGGACGTGAGGAGGCGACGGCACTCGCAGTGTTCGCAGAACATCCGCGGCTCCCAGGCGTGCAGCCGCACAGCGTCCCAAGGTCACGGCTCGCGTAGCCGTCCCCACTCCAGAATCTCTTCCTCTCCCCTCTCCCCCCCCCCCTCTCTCTCTCCAGCTCCGCTCGCCACTAGGCGGGCAGCCGGAGCAATGGCATCGAGGTACCACGCAAAGAATAGTAATATCATGTGGACGTCAATTGACATGAAGGAATGGTCGAAATCCTGTTCGTCAAAATACAATCACTGTTCACTGATGAAACAAAGGGATTAAAACTACACTCCAAATGCTGTTCACTGCTGTACACAGTGCAGATTCTCCATATTACGGTGAAAATGTTCCATATTTTGGTGGTGCAGCTGACTTCGTAACATACCATTGACAGTTCACTGTACCTTATAGATATTTTGACGAATTTCGTTGGTATTATGGAGAAAATTTTCACCATAACATGTTGGCGCAGCCTTTCACCGTAAGACATTTACAGTGTGTGTCCTTTAAGGGCGTAAACCATTTAGGCAATTGGAGCGACGTGAATCGATAATGCCTGTTGCAGGGCACTAAACTTTTGCTTAAAATGCCTGTATCATTCTCGCCCTTCCCCAGGGCATAGAACGATTTACACCCTTGAGGGGCGTAAATGAGTATTAGTGCCCTATAGGGCGTAACTCGCGCTGCTCGCTGGGGGCTCCGCCCCCAGACCCCCGCATGTGTGGGGCGCGTACCGGAGTATTTTTAGTAAGTCCGTGGTGACCAAAGGGAAATTTTCTAATGAAGTAACTGTACTGCTTTTTGGAAGGGTCTATTTAACTGCTTTTGACCATTAATTTTTAAGGTACTATTACTGCCCAAATAGATAGCTTGTATTGTATTGGCTACTGTGGCAGTCAACGGCATTCAAGGTCCGGAAAATATTGAAGACTGCTTTGACAAGAATAAGATCTGTGTTCATTATGGTCAATGTGACCGAAGGCCAAACTAATGGGCCTCTTTTGCGTCTTTTGTTGAATTTAGGCCTATTTAATCGTTTTTTGAGGATGTTGCCAGTGACGGAGACCGGATTGCGGCACAGATTCGGAAATGTCTCGACCAGACCTACCGATGGGGCGAATAAAAATTTTTAGTCGGTCGGTCCCCTTTTTTGAAGATTGAGTGGATTTTGTTGAATTTAGGCCTATTTAATCGTTTTTTGAGGATGTTGCCAGTGACGGAGACCGGATTGCGGCACAGATTCGGAAATGTCTCGACCAGACCTACCGATGGGGCGAATAAAAATTTTTAGTCGGTCGGTCCCCTTTTTTGAAGATTGACTAGGTTTGCTCGGAAACGGTGAGAAATTTGTTCCCCTTTTTTGTAGATAAAGTAGGTTTTCTCGGAAACGGTGAGGAATTTTCAACTTTTGGGATTTTACCCAATTTTCCCATAAAATTTGGAATTGAATGGAAAAAACCGGAAGTCTCTACGACCACTCCTTCACCCCAAACATTTCTATGAGTGAGTCACACTCTAAAAAAAATCAGTACAGAATTTTGTAACATGGTTACGCAGCTTTTTCAATAACATGTGTTACAGAAATTTGTATCACGATGGATACAATTTTTTTCTTCGTAACTTGGTTACAGAATTTCGTAACGGTTACAAAATTTGTATACAGTCGTTATTCTTCCAAATCAAGCTTCAAAATGAGAATTTTGTTCGAACGTAGTCTCCGTGGGTCTGATTGAAGGTCCTTATGCCATTCTTCGAGTAACAACTTTCCCAGATGTTCTCTGAGAAGTCGGGAATCGAACCCCAAACTCTGGGTTGGCGGCCCGCCACGCTACCAACTGCGCTGTGCGGACGCCGTGGAGGGAGCGGCGCAGGTAGCCGGTGACCTGAGACGCGCGCAGTAAGGGACGGAGGCCTTGCCAGCCAAGCATACACGAGACTGAATCTCTTATTCAGAGTCGGGAAAAATAAAAGCACATGAAAACTCTAAGTTTAACTTGTCTCTATGGGCACTGCTGTTCAATTTTGCCGTTAAAACATTATGTTTTTATCTCTGATACAGAATTTAGTATCCAGTTACAATTTTCTGTATCAGTTATGTTACAAACATAATATTGTAACCTTCATGTAACAAATTTCTGTATCAAGGTCCAAAATGATTCATTTTTCTGTAACCGGCACATCTGTTACAAAATTCTATATCACTTATACAAATATTTGTAACCAATGCAGGTGATACAAAATCCTGCATCAAAAATGATTCAAAATTCTGTAACTTTTTTTAGAGTGCAGTGAGTCAGTCGGATTGGGGCTTTATAGGTTCTTGATTTTTACGCCTTTGGATTACCAGTGTTGACGATCAAAATTGGAGAATTCTGCCGTCATGTGGATGTCACGAAGCAATAGAAGTAAATTGACCGATATGGCATTTACGTTTCTTCATGTCATTTTCGTGTCCCCGAGACAAAGCGAAAGTACTGAAGGTCCAAAAATGCCCAATTTCACAGTGATCCTGTAGCAGTGTACAGCGGTGCCATTGTACCTTGGAGACTATCTTTACTTGCGCGTGATCGGACGCCTTCTCATCTGGTAGGTTCTGTAATCTTATCAAACGCGACCTGAACTTGGAGTCCTTGACAAATCAAAAGGAACATATGTTGATGCAACAGTTTAGAAACATGATGCTGTAGAGAATTTGCATATGTGAACGTCGTGGTAGCACGCCAATCAGTAGGTCTCCTAACATATGTTAAGAGACACTGATTGGCGTGCTGGAACAAATAAATTTAATATGGCAGATGTTATATCGAGTCTTAAGAGAACATTGTCACTGCCGGTTCTTATGCTGAACTTTCGGATCGGTCCTAATACCATCAACAAAAAGTTATTTCAATGATGAAATAAAAGTGACACGTCACAGTCATTGCAAGCACAACACAACCTCTGTCAAAAATATTTATAAATGTTTGTTTTTTGTTTGTTTGTAGTTGTTTTTTTTTTTAATCTAAAGCTTAAATTACAGAATGCGATTGATTGTGAGAATCACAAATTAAGATAAGTAGCCAAAATTTATAATCAAGGAATGATAATATGAGACCGACAAAATGTTCGTAGGTAGGTAAATATGCTGAGCTATGCGGTGGTTTTGTTACGGAAAGGAAAGATGAACAAGGTAAAAAATCAATTGTGGGTCACGAATCAATTACACTGCGGCAGAAAGGTATGGAAAATTCTGTTAATTTTTTTTGCCAGGATTCTCCGTAGGCTCTTACAATATTCTCCGTTGGACCGCACTGTCTTCTCCATAGCACCTGGAAGACTGAATAGTCCTACACGGAGAACACTTTAAGAGCCTGGAGAATATTGGGATCACTGTGAGAAAAAAGTACAGAAAAAAGTACCGTCAACGGGGGTAACTTGGGACACCAGGGGTAACTTGGGACAGTCTGCCCTGTACAGCTTGTTGGTGCTGCCATTCAGCGACAGGGGTTCTTAGCGTCAAACCCGTGGCAGGGTTTTGTTTCAGAGGCCTCAGGGCACGCGCGGAAAGGTGGAGGAGGTGCATAACATCACAATTAGTATTTGCGAAACGGGAAACTACGTAATAGGGTTTTTGACAAAATATTTCAATCATTGACAAGTTGGCCCAAGTGCAAGGAGTGAAATACAGATTTGGCCGATTAGTCTCTCTTGGTTGTTAGATCATACACAGACAATAACGTTCGCTAAGGGGCGTTGATTATAGTTTTTCCATCTTCGATCCTGGCTTCAATTTATCAAAAATCGAAAATTTACGGGGTAACTTGGGACAGTCTGTTCCTCATGTTTCCAGCAGTCCTAGCCTTCTAGGAGTTGCCTGACTCGGTCCCTGACATAACTTTAACTTCGGATTTTACGCTGATGATGGAAAGAGATGCCTTGCTTTGCAGTTTTGTCTTCTGGTAATCCATGTTTTGAAATTTTCAGAAAATGCTTGGATAATACCAGTAGAAAAGAGAGTTGCACGTAGAGCCCTAGATATAGTCCAATATCGGTCCTACAATAGTTCCTAGGCCTGAATTCTTGGTCCACATGTTGTGACTTAAATTTA